ATGCTGTACATAAACCTTGTTTAACTCACCATCGTCTCATCCGCTCGTCTATCAGCTCAGCGCAGAAGCAGTCGCGAGCTGAGAAACCTACGCTACCAAACGGCTGGTGACCTTCACGGCAGAGTTCGAAGCAGTGGCGCCTTCGGGACCGTGTTGGCGTCACCGTCTTTCGCAACACGGCCAACTATTGAAACTGGCACATGAAAACGCGTGGGCCGGGCATCTCGGCATAAAAAAGAGCAAGGCCAGAGTTTCCCTTGAGTTTTATTGGCCGAAATGCTGGAAGGAAATTGAAGACTTTGTACGCTCATGCGACATTTGTCAGAGAGCGGGGAAATCCGCGGACAAGTGGAAGGCATCCATGAAGCTTTCTGATACCAGTTACGAAGTGAAATTAGGAAGGCGGCCGAACAAAATTTACCACGGTAACTTGATGAAACCATACGTGCAACGTCAAGCGGTCGTAAACCTGCTGTTGAATGCTTCAGAGGAAGAAGGAGCAGAAATATTGAGTTTTAGTGATGTAATCGAAAGAGGATCGGAGGTAATCTTGGAGCAGTTGAACCTAGAGCCTATGTTAAGTGATGTCCAGAAGGAGGACTTGAGAAGGAATGTTGTTTCTTTTTATGAGAAATCTGGACTCCCATATTGTAGTTACGCAGCTGTGCAACGTCGCAGGCATGAGCAGCTGTTGGTACCGCATAGGTATCGTCGCCTAAAAGTGGCCGGTTACTGAGATGGAGTATGATGCTCCAACAGCACAACTTTGACGTTCGCTAACAAAAAAGGAAAGCTAAACGCTAATGCAGACGCATTGAGCCGTGCGTTTAGTTAGTACCTTCTCCACCCTTCGGTTTCTCGCTGGCAATTCGGGGCAAAATTTTGTCCTCATCACGGCCTTAGCTGAGCGCTCTCGTCCAGAATGAGCTGAAGGAGCCAACTTTATGTTCTATTCTACTTCGTTACGTTGTTGTACGTGTAAAAAAATTGAGTTCTCATTTTAAGAGTCTTGTGTCCCACATGTGCCTCTTGATGTAGAGGGAACGAAATTCGGATAGACACGTCGCTAGGTATATGTTGTACTATACTTTGTCTGGTGTTCTGTCGGGTGACCGAGGGCACTTGCTTGTGTCGTGTGTTCTCTGTCGTCGAACCGTTCTTGACAAGTTGCAGAACCATCGACAAGTGCTGAAACCAAGGATCGTCAGAAGAGACGAGTGAAGCTAGTCGACAAGTTGTGGCGACAAGCCAGTGGAGCTGAGATCCATCCTCAAGAACGGGACGTGTTCCCGGAACAGAGTCTGGAGCTGCATTCTCCCCATGGTCCTGGAGGCGAACCTGGAGGGACCTGGCGAACGAGCGCACCTGACATCCGAGCCACGTGGAAGCAGCTCGTCTTTCCGGCGCATTGTCTGGCGGCGGGGGGGGGGGCTGTTATGCCTGCGAGTCCACAGCGAACGTCCATGCCTCTGAAAAAGGCAATCTGTGTCAAGGCCAGCCCGCGAGCCCGCCTGACGCGAACAACTCAACGGCGTCAACACGTGGCGGTGCCTCTCTGCCACGCACGCACAGTGAGTCACCTCAGCCAGCGAGCCCATCCAGCAAGCAACCGGCGCCTTCCTGTCTGGCGAGTCTGACGCAATGCATGGCGACGTCACTGGTTCTTGGGTGCCGCCACCTGCAGCGCAGCGGCTCCATATTCGATGAGAATGACGCGCCCCAGCGGCGACCCCATTGGAGGATTCTGACCTCACGACCAGCGGCGCTTCTGGTTGGACATTTGGTTACTGAAAGAATCCACCCGGTGCATATAAAAGAAGCCCTGCGGCGCGTCGCGAGCAGAAGACCTATGTGTTAGAGAGAGAGCTCGGCTCTTCTGGTCTCTAAGCTGTCGGCCCCAGTGCCGAATTAGTAATGCCACTGTATATATGCTGTACATAAACCTTGTTTAACTCACCGTCGTCTCGTCCGCTCGTCTATCATCTCTGCGCAGAAGCAGTCGCGAGCTGAAAAACCTATGCTGCCAAACGGGTGGTGACCTTCACGGCGGAGTTCGAAGCAGTGGCGCCTTCGGGACCCTGTTAGCGTCACCGTCTTTCGAAACGGTGGTTGTAGCGGTGAGATTCGTGGCGCCCTTCGTAACGTAGTCGGAGGTGCGCTTCGCAACAACACACAGGCGTGAATACAAACACACCAAACGTACGCAGTCACATAAACATACACATAGGTTCACGCGCACACACACGCCGGCGCAAGTACTGACGTACGCAATCGCAAGCAAACGCAGGCGCACAGGTACACACACATAAACGAGCACGCGCTCCCCTCCTCCCAAGCACACATGCATTAACAAATACAAGTTCAGAAAAACAGCATTGCATAGGGACTCACCCCCACCCTCCCCCCCAAAAAACTTAATCCACATTTATACATTCTGCTCGTTATGAAAGTTTTCGGACAGTCCGGCTATGCAATGAGCATTATAGTCTCCCTACAACTTCATCCAGATATCCAGGTATATTTAAGGAAATTGCTAACTAATATCTCGCAAAGAACAACGTGCTTGGTAGGGACGAAGTTTTTTCCCGATATTTTAAACGCACTGCTTCCTGCCCACGGCATTTTTTTCGCCTCGGGGAATATAAAATAATTTTACCCCTTTGTCTGACGTGCAACTGCACTGAAACGCACAGCAACAGGGCATCGCCACGAAGAACGAAGCTCCGAATGGAACTCTGAAGCACGTTCGGAGCGGGGAGCTTGGAGGGTTCATGGCGGGCATGGTGAATAAAAAGCGCGCGAAGTTCATATGCGCGCGCATCACGTGACGTCAGGGTTGCCAGACTAGCTGGAAGCGCGACTCCCAGCCATTTAGCACTGCAGATGCGCCGGCTTTGCGAAAGAAGGGGGGGGGAGGGGGAGAGAGGAGGTCGACAGTGTGGCAAGAGTGAGACGACGTATATCAAGGAGTGTCGCTAATTTAGAAAAAGTCTCAGCTTTACCGCAAAGACGGAACAATGAACGCGATAGCAACCAATTGGAAGGTCATGCGCAGAATAGAAAGCAGATTGAAACGTGCCCCGCGTTTCTCACGCACTAATGACGCACGAAACCTACTCACAAGTACAGATGCGCGCGAATAAGTGTCTCATTTGTTAGTTCGCTGTGTTTGAAAAGCGCGCCCTTTTCGCAAACGGAGACTGCAATGATGGCTGTGAACTTTGTGTGTCCGGTAACTACGACACAATTGTTCTGGGTAATGCCCGAGGCCATCCAAGACTAGTAACGTTGAGCCAAGACGTACGATCCTCCCCTCCTCCCCACCGCGAGATAAGGGAGTGCGGGGGAGCTTCGCTCTCCTCCTCTAAGCGGGGCAAAGTACGCGTGGGAGATGAGAGCACGCCGCCGCCTCGCAATGTAGCGACGGGCACTCATTGCGCCATTTTGCTGGTAATGCTGAAAACACGATAATTCCCCCCGAGGTGCCTTTCAGCAGTGGTAAGTAGTAGATATAATAGCTTGCCATTTGAAGGGTGAATGACGTGCTCCTCGATGGCTCAGTGGTTAACGCCTCGCACTAGCGATTCAGAGAACCTAGGTTTGATTCCGCGCGCTGGAGCCTTTTCCTGTTTTTCTTTCTTTCTTGCATTTTCATATATATACATACTCATACATATACGGCGAGTGACGGTGACACCGACGCCGGCGGCAACATCCAGCCGATAGTGCCCATATAATTGATATCACAATATATAGGGGCTTTAGTGCATGCGAGGCATCCTAGTGGACGCTGACCTTAGTGCGCGCTGGCTAGAGTGCCTATGTTGCAAATAAACGACGACTTCTTCGTTTCTCACAACCTCGATGCGCTTGTTCACCTCCTCTCCGGGCGTGCGTATTGAGGCACACAAGCGGGTGGAGGAAGCGTCCATCAAGGCACCTTAGTACGCGCACTCGTGATCACTCCATCACTGCATATGAAACAGAAATGAAGTAATGATGGGTGCTCAAAACAGCTTGCCTTTGGTCTCTGGATTCGCGGGGATAAATAAGGAAAGGCAAGCCGTCCAGCCTCTATAGTGGGCGCACGCCTACGCTTCCACCCAACGTGTCGGTTTACTCACGCACCTGGTCCACTGTGCTGCGGTTATATGATATATGTGATACGTGTTTTCTGCCCCTGGTCCCTGGCACAGTTCGCCTAGATTTTTGAGGTCACTCGTCCGTGCTTCCTTCGTAGAGCAATTTCAGACTCATGAGCACCGTTGCCGTGCATGGCCGCAATCTTTCAAGAGCAATTACACCAACAAAACCAAGCTACCACATTTTCTTCACTTTTATTAACGTTTTCTCTATTTTTTGTACCCTTTGTGCGTGCCCTTCCATAACGGCTGAAAGTCGGCGGTGCGCCACCAGTTCACGTGAGGATTGAACAGCGTATACGGGCTGCGCGTCTGGGAACATCACAAGTGCACCAGTAATATACACCTATGGCTCTCAAGACACACCTGGTTTCTTGTTTTTCGAATGAAAGGTTCTTGCTCGTTTTTTTTTTCGGGAAATGTAACACAGAAATCGCTTCATGAAAAAAGGAGAAAGAGAGAAAAATTCTTTGAGAGGATTTGTGTGGTGTTTGCCTTCTCACCGTAATGATTTCGTAACCCGTTCCGCTGACCGGATCTCCTCAAGTGAGAGTTATTCTTCCGTCTCTGAGTGCAGGTGTAATGAAAGCTGAACGCGGGCTCGGGTTAATGGGATAATAAATGGACACGCTCGAGTAAAAATAAGCGTCCCCGCCTGAAAAACTGCTAATGACGGCTTCGTTAAAAAAAGAGCCAGAAGAAACGACTGTAGGTTGCGGCCCAGGAAGCCGTGTTACGTAACAATTCGCACCAGGTCAACACTTTCAACTGAGTGTTTCCCCTCTCACCCATTTTTAAGGCCGAATTCTGGCGTATATAAGCCGAGCTGTCCGGGCCCCGGCATCACAACCTTCCCGCTGAAAACCCGATAAGCCTCGCTCTTCCCATTTCAGAAGATGCACCTTTACGTGAGTAAATGCATTTCATGTTCGGTTCTTTCAAGAATGTATTCTGCATGTAAGGCTCCCTGAAAACATGGTCAGTGAGCTCCGTGTTCACACGGTTTGCTGGCTCAGTTTATGGGAATCTCTCTTGAGCTTCGTTCTGCGTGTCGTGAAAGTATGGCACTTATAGTTTGTCTTCTTGTCGTAGAACCATTCGTAGAATATTATGAAACTCTAATGTCGGTACGTTGAAAAAGATGTACTCGCCAAGCCATAGCTAACACGGAGGACAGTCAGATGTTTCTCATCAGACGGGACCATTTTAAACCCATGTAAGGGGTTGTGTGTGTGTATTCCGAATTTGTAGGATTAACGCACAACTATTCCGACGATATGCTTTTTCTACTGCAACTCAAGAACCAGGAGCTGAAATCAGCAAAAGAACTCCATTCAAAGCATTCTGCCCCACAAGGATAACCCAGTCGTTCGTGAATGAGCCTGTACTAGGAATGCGACTTTGCAGATTTTCAAGACCAAATAAAAGTGGTTTTGTTATTAAGAGATTGAGTATGAACTTTCGTCTTTGGATCTTGTCAGGAGCTGCGCCATTTCACACCCATCTTCTTGTGCTTCGGACGAGTGTTTCCTCCTCTAGTCATTTAATATAGCGTCAATTAAATTTAATATAGTGCTTGTGAACTAGACCAACAAATGCTGCCATCTATACGCACCGTTTTTTTCTGTTTGTTTTGGCGTATGTTGTGAAAACAAAGAAATGTGTTCACAAAAATTTATTGAAGGCGTAATGCACTAAGGGACACACACACCACACACACACACACACCACACACACACACACACCACACACACACACACACACACACACACACACCACACACCACACACACATATATATATATATATATATATATATATATATATATATATATATATATATATATATATAATATTAATGAGATCTAACAGAAAATAATGCCAAGGAATGTATAGGGGAAGTTATTAGAACAAATGTAATGTAAATAAGAAGAAAGAAAAGGGGGTGAAAAATAACCAACCGTGAGCAGGAATCGAACCTACGACCTTCGAATACGCGTTCGATATATATATATATATATATATATATATATATATATATATATATATATATATATATATATATATATATATATATATATATATATATATATATATATATATATATGTATGATTTCATTCGGCAGGTCTTGTCAGTAGGTGAGGCCAGCGCCTCCTCTATTTCAAAAATAGAGGATGCGCTGGTGAGGCAGACACTGTAGATAGGGGCTAGGGAAGAATGCCTTCAAAAGGCCATATTAACACTTCAACCACAATGTCTTCAAGGCTTAACGAACAATAGCACATATCAGGTCCATAACCAGGAATTTTTTTCGGCAGGAGGCACCTGTTGAAGGTCTTAAAAAAACCAATTTCTTTAATTAATGTTCTCGGTAAAACACACACCCTACCCAAATTTCTGAAAGAGGGGGGCCCTAGGGTCCCCCCCCCCCCCCGGACTACGAGCCTGGCTTATATCCTATATGACCTGCGAATAGCCGCTTCTTGTTTCTTTTCGGTGCATTTTCCCCTCACCGCACTGTTGTCATGCGTAATATATTGTTCATACGCCCTTTTCCATGACAGTAGTAAAAAGCCTCTGGAGTTTTATTTTATTGCGGTAGCAATTATTTGGACACTCTCAGCTAGATTTTGCCGCCGGCGTCACCGTCACTCACCGTATATGCACACGTTTCTATATATTTGAAAACACAAGAAAAAAATAATCGAGAACAATATTCCAGCAAGCGGAATCGAACTTGGGACCTATGCAACGTGAGTGGGAGGCATTAACCATTGAGCCACAAAAGCGGAGATCACGTTTCCTGCGTCGTTTGTGTGCGAGAAACGCGGGGCACGTTTCTATCTGCTTGCCATTCTGCGCGTGACCTTCCAATTTGTTGGTTTCGCGTTCGTTGCTTGATTGTGGCAAAGCTGTGACTTTGCCACAATCAAAAGAAACAGAAAACGAAAAAAATCAAAAAGAAACGAAAAACAAAACAAAAAGCCTTGCCTCGAAAGACCTGCATTCAACGAACCTGTTTTTTATTCTTTTTTTACCATATTGGTAGTCAAACTAGACCCTTGCTACACTTACCCCCGTATTCACAAACGCTCCTTCACTCAAGAGCTCTCCTCGACTTGAAAAAGCTGATGGGAGCGCCGTCCCTTGGCAAACCAAGTCACTGCATATCGGCGATATTCTGCAGTGATTCTTGAGAAGCGCAGCGTCAATTTCAGTCGAGCAGCGGCGCAGTGCTCAACCCAGTCAAGTGAAGGATGGAATTCGAGTCAAGGAGCGTTTATGAATACGGGGGTTAGCCTTTGCAACACTGGAGCTGTGTAGATTGTTCCTAATATATGTGACACACCTTTGTGAAAACAGAGTATTTCGACACCATTCACCTCTATACTTTCAACATCAAGCGCCAATTTATGACAAGTATTTCTACGCTTTGCTTACGATTTGTGTTGCAAATCTACTTTAGGTCTTTGTCTTTCGAGTCTTCTTTGTCCTAATTGCTTAGCGCTGAAGTAATCAGCATATATTAAAACCTATTATTTCTTCCTCTGCAGTGGGTACTGCTGGCGTGCGCCCTGGCCACTGGAGTCACCGCTGGTGGCTACGGCCACGCATCCATTTCTTACGTGTCCAAGCCAGTGGTCAGAGTTGGCTACGTATCTAAGCCAGTTGTGACGTACGTCAAGCAACCGGTGGCCACAGTGTCCCACATAGTCAAGCCCGTGCTTACAGTCAGCCATGGTTATGGAGGTGGCTATGGAGGCGGATATGGGGGCGGCTATGGTGGAGGCTACGGTGGCGGATACGGTGGTGGATACGGATACTGGTAATACCAGCCAAGCTGATGTGAGAGAGGGTGCCATCAAGCTTTTACCCGAAGCCCCGACGCTGGCGAGGACCTTCAATAATTTCATGATCATTATTTTATCTTGTGCGAATGAATAAACCACGTAGACAGCCACATCTGGTGTCTGTCGTCACTTAATTGATGACAAGATGACGTAGAATGCTTTTTTAATTTTATAGTGGTTGCTGAATTTGTATGCTTGTAGTGGACGGCATCCTTGAAGTGCTGGTATTCTAGGATTGTTTTTCGACGCTTGTGTGTGCTTTCGTGTGTGCGTGTATCTGTGCGTGCGTGCGTGTGTGTATGTGTGCGCGCGTGTGTGTCTTTGTCATCAGCAACACTGCATTCACCTTCCAAAACCTTTCAAGTGTGGTGTGCAGAATCAATTTTAACGTGTTATATGGCCATTGCCTTTCTATCGATTAACCTTATCGATTATTCGTTTGCTCACGATAAAGTTTATTGGAGTAAAATGTTTTGGTGACAAAAGGAAATTGAAGCAAGTGTTGGTCCCGACATCAATACTTCACCTATGAAACAACAGTGGTTGTGTACTCGTGCTGACACTTCCACAAGTAGACTTGTCTTGCTAGAACTTATTTCCTTAGCGCTAGCGCGTATATGCTTCGTACCCTCTTTTTTGTCCTAAAAAAAGAGGGGGAGAGGGCAAGAATGAATACGAGGGTGTGAAAAGGGGGTGGCAATGACTAATTGTGTCAGGGAAGAAGAAACAAAGGAACAGGTGTTACGTGAATAAAAAGAAAAGAAGAAAGCGCTGAGTAGGTAGGGGTTAGACGTATCGCTAAATCCTGGTTGTCAGAAGAAGCACCACATAACAATAGTAGGTTTGGAATTTCTAGTGGGAGGGCTTCACTATTGTTGGTTTTCGTTGTGTATGTACCATATCGATCGGATTCAAGAACCCCTTTACAAACGTTTATAGCTGCTGGCTAGAGTGTATTGAGCTAGCGGACTGAAAGTCCGTGGACCGTAAGTTTGACTGAAGTATGTAAAGTTTGAGATCGTCAAAGTTGTTTCCTGCTACATTAAAATTCTGTGCCACTGCTCTCGATAACTTTTCACCCTGTCAGCGCGATGCCCGTTTTATGTAACAGAAAAACACTGTCCTATTTTGCCAAGGTACCTTTTATGACAGTATGAACATATCATACTCAAGTATATTTGTTCTGCCGGCCGGCGACGGATCATGTGGCCGAGCTTTCTGAACGCGATGCACGAAGGTACATGCACCCCAAATGAAATATTCTTCATCTTGATCCGTTCTTGAAGTTATAGAAAACGACAAAAACGTTTGATGCCGTTTGAGGTATCGGTAAGGGCAGACAAACACGCAAACATACAGACGGACAGACAGACCAAAATTTTTTCGTCGAAGGTCCCTAAGAAAGACTATTGTCTTTAAAAATTAGCCCCGTATCTGCATGTTACACTGCAAATGTCGAAAGACGATAGTCTTGCGTCTGAGAGAGTGAACAAAACATTTATTTGATGTACCGCACAAAAAAATAAAGTCAGTGAATGGTATTCTGGAGGCGCTGCGTTAGAGTGCCTCGAGCTTGCAGCGGAGGTGAACGAGCGCATCAAGTCACGTCACACGTGAGACATAAGCGCTATCTGGCAGTTATCTTGGATAACGAAGCGCGCGCTGTGCGCGCCCGTCTCGGAGGGGATAAGATGTAGAACGCAAGGTGACGGGTAGGTGCCACCACTGTCTCGTCTTGGCAAAGCGTTGGAAACACATGCCTTTTCGTGCAAGCGTTGCATGGTAAGCGCAGCTTGATAAACTCTATGGTCCTTAGAATCACCTATGTATGCCTTTTCTAGTAAAATACACAAATACAGAATATTGACGTGTTGTTATGGTGCCTCGGATATGCGCGATAATTGCTTGTTAATTGACAATCGTACAAGTATGAACGCTGAATCTTGAGCAATATTGGTAAGTGCTGCGGATGGGGTCCACTGTTTGTGGTATCGTCTGGTGCCATTTAGGGTACCGTTAAGGGCGGACAAACAGACAAATGTTCAGAGAGACAGACAAAAATTTTTCCGTTGAATGTCTCCTAGAAAGACTATGGTTCGTTTACATTTTTGTAATAGTTACCTCCTGATTATGCACGTAGTTGTAACCCATGTATTTCGATCTGGAACACAATGTCACGTAATGAAAGTGGTATATGGCGTTGAAAATTTGTCAAAACACATTCTGCAGCACAATTTTATGTCATCCTACTCTGTCACTATCCTCCTTCTGACCACCATGTTGGTGTTGGTTAGAATTACTGTTGGTTTATTTTGCGCACATTGCAATATACCAGGAATTTTGGGTTTCAACAAAAATGTGACCGGCATCAATTCAACAGAATGTCGCGCATATAGTAAAAAAAACATATAAATATGTCTCTCACTATACTCAAACAGTGAAAAGATTTGCTGAAGCATTCCCCGAAATAAGCTTCCCGCTTTTTTTCTTTCACACCCTCTCCTCAGGAAGGTTGCGCCGTGCTTTCTTGTGGGTTGAAGACTGCTCTTTCCAAAGGTCGAACGACAGTAAAGGGAGAAATGCAGACAGGAAAGAAGAAAAAGTTAGACCTATTGTTAAGCACTCCGGCTTGAGATTTCTAGAAATGAGTCATTCAGAAGATAATGGAGATAACGCAAGCCGTTTGATCATGCAGTTGCCTCGTCTTCCACAACTCACTGAACCCGTTCAGTGATACATGTCAGGCAGGTGAACCGTCAAACTTGGCGTGTCAAGCTTCAGAGCGTCTGACGATTGCGTTCCTTTGTGTTCCGGCAAGGTCATGTTTTTGGTGCCAGGCTTACTAAGCGTGCTCTAGCTAGCTCAAAAGCGAGTACTACTAGATGACTGTTTGCTTTCCGTACTGAAAGTGCCGCTGGTGGTCAAAGAGCGCAGGGGACAGATGATAATGAGTAGCTGTAATGTGACTAGCTGTGAAAGTTAGTCACTGCGTAAATCACTGCATCAAAGTTAGGCCCTGCACTGACTCGCTTTAGCTAGCCAGTGCAGAAATTCGCAGCAACACACAACACACACACACCACACACACACACACACACACACACACACACACACACACACACACACACACACACACACACACACACACACGCACACACACACACACACACACACACACACATACACACACACACGCGCGCGCGCGCGCGTTCTGGTTGAGGTTATATATAATTATATGAAGCTTCTGGCGCAATTATCGGAATGCTTTCGGGCTCTCGCTGACTTGAGAGAGTAGTAGAAGGAGGGGCGGAGGGTTAAATGACAGGTTTTCCAGGATGACATGTAATTTTGGACGAGTGCTTTTGTCGATGTCACTTAAAGCTTTCGCTGCCGAAAAAAAAAATCAGTTTCCGGACAACGTGGTGAGGTCTCGATTCTAGGGCTAAAAATTCCTACGTATTACGCAAATGACCCATTTCATTTTCGAAGTTTACAGCTCGGTAGAAAAGATGATTTTGAAAGCTTTCGACATTTCAAAGTAGGCGTATGGTGAAGAAACTTGCCAGCGTATCAAAATAGCCTTGTTCTTAATTTTTTATTATAGTCAGTCGATTTTGAATTTTGTGCTTCATGCTGTCGTCCTCGAAAGTAAAGGATGTGGGGTCAAGGATCCATTATTCGTATCCAGGAATAATACAAAGCGGATTCAGAGCGTCAGGCTTCCTCAATTCACTCTTTTCTTGTTCAGTGCACCACGTGCGTATTCCTTTACGCCTGACTCACTCTTCGACACGTTTTCCCCCCAGCGCGTCTGTACCTGAATTCTTTTGTCTGCTCGTCAAAATATGCCAGGTTTGCCCCTCTTTCACACGGCGCTGAAAGGCGATTTACAATTTGAAACGCAGCATTAACACACTTTTCCACGCCTAAAAACGAAACACTCGCCCGAAGAAGCTACGTGGTGAAACTGCCATGAGTCGTATGATTCAAACTAAAATCGCGGTACTGTTGAAAAAAAAAAAAGCAATTGCAACACAGGTGTGCAGTAAAGGTATGTCAAACTCTCGGCCATAATTTATGAACCACTCGCTGACCTCCTACCATGGATGCCCCACATTGCACCTATACGGTACCCGCACATTACCCTGGAAAAATACGGCACCTTAACAAAGCAATGATACCAGTCATTTTCACAAAATTATATATTATTTCTTTGCCTTATCGCGTTCCTACTACTTATCGCCTAATACAATTTTTTTCTCTGCTGAGGGAGTGGCAACATAAAACATGCCGACAAGTTAATAATTTTGTATACGCAAGCGAACACGGCAGTATAAAAGGTTTTTACAAAAAACGTTTACCCATAGTTTTTTTATTCAACGACAACTTGGAACTGAATACAAATTTCCACAAAAAGTTATCTGCTAACAGGCCAGTAACTATACTGCCACAACACATGCTGTATTAATCATTCAATTAAAATGATGTATTTATTAGCGAGGCAGCGTAAGTCAAGGTGTTATTGAGTAGAGGATGCGTGATGATACTGTAATAGTCTTTACGAGCAGATAGGGAAAAAATACGCCGTAATCTCGTTGTTGTGTACATTTCGCTTAGTAACTGATTCCATTAATACTAAACGCCGGGATCACGCTCTCAGAAAGTCCATTGAGCAGCATATGAGGTATACATTAGTTTAGTTAGTTTATTTGTACCTTAAGGGTCCCGAGGGACATCAAATGAGGGGTAGGCAAAAAAAAACATAACAGATGAAACAAAAGAAAAAGAAAGCAAAGGGGCTCTAACAATAACAAAATATAGAAACGCAGCAGTAGATCATAAATACAAAGATAAAATATCGCTTTTTGCGGTGTTTTTAAATGAATCAAACTGAGATGATATGCATGGTGATGTCATCTAAGTATACTCCTAGAGGACAAGCAATACTGCTAGAACGAGCGCCGAGTTTGAGTGCGTTTTCTTTTAGACCCTGGCATGCAAATCATGACATTCATTACATACATGTCATGATTTTCATGTTAACATTAGTCTTTAATGCTCATTATACAGTCATGTTATGCCATGCCAATTTTGGTATGGATCGCATTAT